TTTTTTTATTTTACATTTTAAACATGACTTCTTTACTTCTCTTAAGCATTCCAAGCTTGCTGTTGAGGAATTCTGTGAAGGTGTTATTTAAAGTACGCCAGGCAAACAGCTGAATTATATCAGATAAGGAATATCAGTCAAGAGTGTAACAAARCAATGTTGTCTRAAAGCAAGCCTGTGTGCCACCCTTYYRWAAGGGTAARGAAAATTTAAAAYTCCTCAGAATTCAGTATAGCTAAAGAAYAGAAAACTGAAAACTCCTCAGCAGTCATTTAAATGAGCTGAACCTCGCACAACAAAAACCCCAGGCACCTGACAATTCAGTAAACCTAAGCAGTTAAAATACAATACAATGTAAGAGAAGCACTGMCAGTAGTAAATAAATGTAAGAAATATTCAGAGCACATAATTTCAATTCTTCAGAATTCCTTTGGGTCCTACTGTACAGCCATCCACAGGCTGAAGCATCATTCAGCAAGGCTGCAAGTAAAAGACTTCAACCCTGCATAAAGGAATGTGTGATGTAGTACACGTCTATGCAATAAATAAAAACTTAATTATAGCTTTKAAATGAGTTTTAGTATTTAAAAAGTTTCATTTTCAAGTTGAAACAAAACCCTATTGGCTTTCAGGCGTGGAAGACAGCAACAACAGAGATTGTGAATGTGCACACATACACATCATCTTTCAAGACAAATGTGTTTTTCTATGTAAAAGAGCTAAGCCCTGACAATCCATGAAGCAGAGGCAATGTCAGCAAGTATTGCTTCTGTGTATTACAAGGAGCACACTTCTCTTGTGGTGCTAGTAAAAATGGAAAGTAAGTTTTCTGACAGCTGCCTGACTACATCTTTTCAAGTCATCAAAATGCCTTCTCCAGAGTCAAAAAGACACCACACTGTTTGTAAGAAAAAACAACAGATAGATTGCTATATGTATTTTCCCAACTACAGCAACTTGCAAGTCTAAAGGAAGAAAGCAGATGTAAAATCTCATTTCCCTGTACAGAATAAAACATTGTCAATATTGAAACTGTCTAAAAAATTCCAAGTATGGACACAACTGGACAAGATGAGATGATGACACAACATATAAGATTCTGCAAAACAAAACTGGGAAATCTTATTCCGGTCATGGGTGAATTAAAAAGTTCTCCAACATTCAGAAAGAAAGAAAGAAGCTGTGATTCAAGTGCAGCTCTGACATTCAAAATGCACTCAGATATTACTTGATATTATAAAAGAGTCACATCATAAAACTAAAAAATATAGCTTAATTAATGGTTCAAGTGAAAAAGTAATTTCAATCAAAAATACCCATCATATAGTAGCGTCTACTGTAATTATAATTATACATAATTTATAATGTTCCCATATGACAAGGATGATGACAAGACCCTGAGGAATGGTGTCGTGGTTTGAACCCTGGTTGAACGCCAAGGCACCCATGACATTTCCCCCCAACCCCCAGGAGAGACAGAGAGGAGAACAAAACCCCAATTAACCCAAAGATTTATGGCTTTTAGATAAGGTAACGGATTGAGAGAAAGATTTCACACTCCATTATAGTCAAAACAGGCTGGAACTTAAGTTGCAAAATGGATTTATTACTAAAACAACTAAGAAACTAAGGGGAAAGGAACAAAAGGCAGAGGGGAAATTTATGAGGAGGAGGGAAAAAAAAATGGACTGTTTAATAGACCTGTTTCTCTCCTGTGTTGCCCCCCACCCCTCCTGCCTTCCCACATGCAGGGGAAGCAGAGGATGGAAGTGTTTTTGGTCAGTTCATCATGATCTTTGCCCTCCATCACTATCACCTACAGCAAAGGTTGGTTCTTATCTTGCTCCAGGCTGTGGAGGTTCGTTTTCCAGGAACAGACACTATTATCACTGCTGGTAGCATAGGATTTTTTTTCCTTTACCTTGTCCACAGGGAGGAAAAGTCCTCCAAGGCTGGCTGGCTCCAAAATCAAACTGGGAGCAAAAAATTTACTCTTGAGTCTTAGCACAGCTCCCTCCAGGCATTCACTCATTCCAGGCGTGGGCCACCACCCCATGGCTACGATTAGCCCTCCAAGGCCAGGCCACTTATATCTTGGCTCTCCAACTGGACAGGATCACCTCAGGAACAGTTTGTTTTCCTCCATGGTCAGCACCACAGCTTGCAAAGCACCTTTTCCTCCTCCTCCTCATCTCCCTGACCCTGATGTCTCCATGTTTTCTCACATCTCACCCTCTCCCTCCCTCTTCCCCTGTGCAGGGGAGGGACTAAGGCTACAGGTTAATGGCAGCTGCTGCAACCTAACTTGTTTTGAATTCTTAAATATGAGACCATTTTTCATCACAGAGATGTAACCAGCATCTCCAACTGGCCTAGGCTTGGCCAGCAGCCTGTCCATTACCCTCAGAGCCATCAGAAATTGGCCCTAAAACACAAGGGGCAGGGCTCTTTTTGCTGGACATGATGAAGAAGACTTCCAGAATGTTCTCAGATGAGCCATTTTTGTGGATTTCCCCCACCATTAAAAATTGAACCCAGCAAAACCACCACAACTGGTGACCAGTTACTGCTGGCACCTTCAGCATAATGGAATTGATAAAATATTAAAAGCTGAACATTTTTTTCTCCAGCACAACAAAGCATTTGCCAATGTCCCTGAAAAACAAACAAAAGGAAAAAGAAAACAACAAAAGGACAAAAACAAACCTCTCGGTAGACAATGAAATTATCACTGGCTGAGAAAGCTAGCTCACAAATAATTAAGAATAAAGAAACAATATGATTCTTCATTTTCCAGTCTTTTAATATTCAACACATTTTTACTATAATCAGAAATAAATCATGTATAATTGTGATTTAAAACAGATGGGTTGTTTTTTTTTTTATTCAGATCTAAAATTAAAGAACATAAATTGAGTTTCTAAAGTTGTATTTTGTAAATGACTACCATTCATGCACAGAATGCATCCTGTTAATGAAGTTTTATAATAAATGCAGTAGACAGTAGCTGTGATTAATATTYTTTTTCTTTAATACAGGCTGTAAATTAGTTTTTATCTTCAGATACAATTTACTAAAGAACGCTGAATCTTAATCAGATACCTGGGGTAACTCCTAAACTTTTATTGCTTGGCTTAAAATTAAATCCAAATTCAAAAGCTTCTGCAGGGATGTCTCCAAATGCCAAACTGTGCACTTTTGGTCCAAAATGAAATCACAAAACATCACCAACAATAGAACTTTATTATTCTGTTCTCCAACAGTGAGAGAAAGAAAGAAGTGCAAAAGTAGTCAAATTGCCTCTCTTTCATGCTCAACAGCATAGGAACAATATTTCTGAAGAGGGACAGACCTCTTTTTTGAAATAAATTTATTTTGAAATAAATTGAAGGTCTGGGAGCTATTACAAGGGCAGAGGAATTACTAGGTTTAACCTACTATTTGATTCRCTTTCATTTGTGCAACATAATTTTAAGAAGCGGTGAATCTGTGAGTCAAGTGACAAGAACATGAAAGGTCACTGTCCTTATTAAAAACTACTAATTCAGAAAATTTATTAAAATCTCAAGGTGCAGTTTAAGAAAGCTGAATGCACACACATGCATCTCAGCTTGAAAAATCCTTGAAGAGAAAAGTGTACACATACTCCCTCAGTATTTAAGATGTGTTCACAAGCTGTGGAAAATAAAGCAAGTCAAGTATTATCCACAAAGGAGGACTCTGGCTAATAGAAGTGGCTACTGTGCTGGGGGCAAAAAAAAAGGTTTTCTTCTTTGGGAGCTGCTAGATCAAATGGATTCACTTGAAGAATAGAAACTTAGAAGGTAATTCTGAGTCAGTATACAAAAAACACATCCTTAAGTCAAAGGGATTATACTGTGTATTTAAATTATGGTCTCTTTGCATTCAGCTCTGACTCAGCTGTCAGAATTATCCTGATACAGTAAATTCATTAACATCTCTGTGAGAGATATAAAAACTTTTGTGAAATCGCATTTCTTCTGCACTGATGAATTATGTTTACTGCATTAACTGATACAGTGGCACATCTAAACTGAGATATGATCTGGTAGTTCAAGAACAAAATCTTTGACAAAATCCTTGAGCTAAAGAGTTCATCATCAGCATATACAACAATTTACTTAGCCAGCATGGTGTTCAGATTTCTGCATTCAAATTACAAAAACAACCCCACATAATACCAAATTAAAGAAATTACAAGCAACGATGTGCCATGGCAAAAGTCTTTGCATTAATATTTAACCAGACTATATATGAGAAAATTCTTATGATAACAGGTACCTTGGGTGCATTTGAAAATATGCTATTATATTCCGAGTTCACAAAAATGCCTGATGATACCTAATGGCCTGGCATTAASATTAAGTTCTCTATAAAATGTATAGATGCAAACTGCTAGCAAGGGAAGTTTTAAATTCAGCTGACCATGCCATAATCAGCATGGGTGAAAATACAAAACTTCTCTAGCTGAAGTCAGAAATTTATTTATTCTCCATCACAGAACTGCAGAAGATTAAGTGACTTAAAATCACAATTCCATTGCAGAGGTACTGGACAAACACAGGAAGTTGAGGGCTGTACTGCTGGATTACAGGCAAAGAATATACAGCAGTATAGGCAAAACCACTTCAAATCCAGTTCACACGTGTGTGCTCTAACAGGGCTACACTGTTTGAGCTTCCAGAGTTAACCCTTCCAAGAAAGAGAAAATGAGACATCAGTACAGGGCAGGACTGTGACCAATGTGTACAAAACCCAAGGGGAGAAATTCCCAAAAAAGCAGTGCTCACTTGCTGCTTGTTATATGAGGAAGTAGAAAAGAAAATTGATCATCAGTTCCAAACCAAAAAGCAAC